TCAATGTAATGAATTATTATAATTTTCTAATAAAATTAATAATGCAAAAAGTAGTAGGTCAAAGTTTAAGAATCAAATTTTTTACAATATTAAATTTCATTTATTAGCACCACAACTTTCCACATTATCTTACATAGTTTGGATGAAAAGAAAAATGGGATTACTACAAACATCACAGAGTGGAATTATAAATGAACGAATATTATATTAAATAAACTTTATCAATTTAATGAAATATTATAATTTGCTATTAGACATTGAGTAATGTTAATAGTAGGTCAAAGTTCACGAATCGAATTGTTTACTACATTAAATTTCATTGATTAGCACGACAACTTGCTAACATCATCTTATATAATTTGGATGAAAAGAAAAGAAAGGAGAAATGGGATTACTACAAATATTACAGAGTGGTATTATAAATGAACGAATATTATATTAAAATATAGTCGGTTACGTGAATGAATAAATAAATGGATTCATCTTTCATGATGGATTTATCGGATAATCCCTATTTTCACGGCCGAGAAGTTTAATCTGGCGCCGGTAACATCATATGCATGCATTTTTGCATGCATTATATTGCATGCTTCTGTTAACAAATATGTTAACAATTGTAATGCTTCTCAATCTTCTTCTTCTTATTAATATTATTGTTTTTAGGATAAAATAAGGAAGAAAGAAACATTTATAAAAATTTTAAAATAATGAAAAAAACTTTGAACAGTAATTAATATTATTATTTTTAGGGTAAAATAAAATATTTATGAAATTGTATAATAATTTAAAAAATAATAAAATTATAATTTGAATTAAATTTTAAAAATTTATAATTTGGAATTGTATTTATATTTTGAAAGTAACATTATAATCATCTCATTATTATCATTTTAATTTTGATGAGCTAATTATAATTAAAGTATTATTGATTTTATTTTGGAAAAAAGAAATGATAATGATTGAGAAAATAGAAATGATAAATATTTATAATAGATAAATAACATACTCATTTATCATTTATCAGCATTCATCATTTATCAATAAATATTTTTGAAATAGTAATCTCATCACTATCATTTCAATTAATTGACATATGATAACACCTAATTAGTAATGTTGTAGTTAAATGATAGAATGATATTTTGGATAGGATGGAATAGTTTTTAACTAATCAGTCATTATCCAAGAAAGTTTTTCATTCATCGGAAGATATTTGAAAGTGAAAGTTAATGAATTACAATCAATGAATGGATTAAAAGTTTCATATATTGAAAGACATCGAAAAGTAAATGGTATTCAATAAAAGATAATCGCAAAGATATATTTGATAATTAATTATTATTTAATTAGTAATTAGTATTCCATTTCATAGCACCAAACACTTGCCAACAATTAGTATATAACAAAATTTTCTCTCTATTATTTTGCGCTAATTTAAAAAAGTTTTGTTAAGAATTTCATTTCCTTTTTCAAATAAATTTTATAAGAGCAAAGAAGATTAAAATTTTTACAAAGGTTAAAGGTTAGGATTTTGAAGAAAAGAAAATTGAAATTAACGTTTATTATTGAATGTATAAAATAATTAATTATACATTTTAAATGAAAATAAAAAAGAAATTAAAATTTGAGACTCAGGTAAATGAGAGGTGAACTTGGATGATGCAAATAGAAGAAAATGATTGATGAAAGTTATGCAAATAATTGAGAAGTAATTGGAAAGAAAAATTCACATAAGGTCAAATGGAAAAATATTATCTTTGCAAATTTGCAAGTTATAATTTCATGGGAAGATGAATTTGCAACAAATTCAATTATTATCCATTTATGGAAATGTCACATTTATACACTCTTTTTTTGTTGAATTTAAAATTCAACAATTTACAAAATTATTGTTTAGCGATCAACTTTAATTATTAATTTACTTTTTAACATTAATTAATTTACTTTTACATTAATTAATGATTAACATTAATTAATTTACTTTTTTATAAGAATAATTTACTCATACATACATTTTATTGCATGTTTAAAATTAATTAATGTATAAGTTAATATGCTTAAAATTATATTTAAAATTTATCATATTCAAAATTTATCTATCACCATGAATATTTTTTGTTTTGAAAAAAAATGAAAATCTTTCGTGATACTTTAAAATACATCACCATATGATTTAATAAATGAAGTATGATTTAATATTTTGAACCTAATTATTAAATAATATCAAGTTGAATTAAGTAATTGATTAAAACATCTGTTTGAAGGAATGATCAGATCATTTAATCAATTTGTTTGATTAATTTTTTAACCTAATTTAAACTTATTCTAATTAGCATGACAGAATCTAAATTTGAATTAGTTACTAATGATAGCATTTCAGAAAGAGAAACAAAATACAGAATCGGATTGCAGTTAGAACGAAATCTCTCAAATAATTCTTTTTACACTAATTAACAGTTAAATTACCTGTTAGGTTATATCATAGAGCTTTATAAATAATATTATTTATTTTTCACGTATCTTTTTACATCATTTCATCATTATCTTCCTATATTTTCAACATTTTCTCAATTTCTTTTTCTCTAAAATTTATATTCTATTTTCATACTTAAATATTAATTTTTGCAAAGAAAAGTTTTTTTTCTTAATTAATTAATTAGTAATTGTTTATCATTCAAATATCATGAAGCAGAAATAGTTTTTTAAACTACAATATTAATCACTACTTACTTTTGTCGGTGAGTTCACAGAGTGTGTGAGGTCTCATCACATTCTCAAGAAATATTTTCCCATGAATGAATCTTCCGAACGATGCGACATCTTGTCGCCTCATAATGACCCTCCCATGAAGTGCTATATTTAACGGTAAACATAAGTACTCGAAAATAATTATTTCTAGACAATCATTATTTAACTGTGAATTTTTTTGAATTTCTAAATTTTGAACTGTAATTTTATACTAGCCTGAATTGAAATCTGGAAAATGTGAAGACTAAACCTGAATTGAAATCTGGAAAATATGAAGACTAAACCTGAGTTGAAATCTGGAAAATATAAAGGCTTACCTTTCAAAGAAACCATTTAAGATGAAATTATCCAAATTGAAAGTTAAAAAATTTTTAAAATATTTAACTAGCGATTCAGTTATTGATAATTAAAACAATTAAAATCGGAAGCAATGAAAAATTGAACATCATATTTGAGTTGCAAATAAAAATTAACTTCCCTTTTTTGAAAATTAAAAATTCAGGATAAGCTATTATCATATATCATAATATTACTCATTTATGTATTGACTTGTAAGATGGGAATTTTGAATTCAGTAAAACTAATTGATAAAATTTTCGGCATTTCAGAACTTCTTAAACAATTTTACCATTTGACTAATTCTATAAGTTTCCCATAAATTAAAACTCAACAAAAATTTACTTAAAATCTTGAAAATTAGACTTTTGAATTTTTTAAATTTAATAAAACTTTCACCTTTCACCTCACTTTCATTTCTTTTCCCTGCCAAATTTTATGAAAGAACGGATCAGTTGCAAATTACTCTTACTCAAATGTAGCACAACTCATTCTTTAAAGTTATCTTCCAAAGAATCCGCTCGTATGGTTAATCCCTTCCTTTGTATAATAAAGAATGAAAAGAGGGATTTTGCAATTTTGAAGTTAACCTTACTGATTGATATGCCTATTGTAACCGTTCTTACCGGAATCGGAATGGAATTTAAAATAAGCAACAAAATTATGATATATTGATAAACAAACAATTTTTGAATAACTAAAATAAATTTATGAAAAAATCATCGAATGAAAAATTGAAATTTCTCATAACAGTAACCAATAAAATGTTTTTTCTTTCTCTCTCTCTCTCTCTCTCTCTATCTCTTTCTCGATCAAGTTATTATCATGTATATCACGAAGACTAATACACTCTTACACTGCGAAAAAAAATGATAAAAAATATTCCCATGTGAACTATAATTGTTCTTAATTACTTTTGGGGTCATAGTTCACACGACATTACTTACTTATAAACTCATGTGGAAAATAATTATGATTAAATGTCACACGTTGCTTTTAGTTTATCGTTTATTACTAATTCATTTTTCATTTAGAATATTTCTTTCTTTCTTTCCTTCTTTTCGCGTTTTCCCAATAATATTTTAGAAAGAAGAATGATGCAATTCGCAAGAATAAAAAGGCAATTATAATGTAATGATAATGCGAATTATCATCTATGATTATAAATCTCTTAAAATTGAAATTAGCCGATCATTATCTGATAGAGTGAATGTTACCGGTAGCACTCTCAATCATATGTCGGATTTATCTAAACAAGGATCAACCGGTGGAAACTCATGACTTCACTTCTAGAACTATTTAATTTTACTTCATATCTCTGGATAAGATAGCTTTTATTCAAGAATATTTCACTCAAGCAACATGGTTCGATCCACCCTTGGCCTATGACTACCTGAAATTGATCCCTTTATTTCACAACATTTCACCAATCACTCACCGTCAAGACATCATAATTCAGCGAAATATCCCAGACAAAATGTGATGCGATCCAACGTCGGGACACTGCTAACACTGACTCAGGTATTTGATTTTAAACAAAATGTCTAATTGTTATAGGAGGGAACTATGATTTTCAGCCCACATTCCAAAGTTCCAAACTTTTTGTCGCATTTTGAGAAGCAATAAGCCGTAATTCAGATAGCAAACGCTACAAATAGCAATAACCATATTAAATGAACTACCCATATTTAGCTAACCACACGACAACATATCATAATCCTCTAAGTTGCAAATAACTGAAGTTGCCTGACCTGCATATCTTCGCCGAATTTCCCGAATTTCAAGTATCATCATCCATGTATCCCATAAAATAATCTATATACTTTGTAATACGAGCAAAATTTAACAATATTTATATACCAAAACAATCTTATAATTCTTAAAGATGCACACGACATCAACAAAATGATTTTCAATTACTGCGCTTCTTGCTGTGCTTTCAGCATTTTAAGGTGTGCTTTCTTGTTTTTAACACGATTCTTGCGTACCGCTAGCGATGCCTTCTTTGCCGTCCAGCGTTTCTTTGTGACCTAGAAATAACCAAAACTAATAATCCAAAAAATAGAAAAATGTAGCAAAGCATTCGAAAAAGATACAGACAAATGTAATACTGTAAATGAAGTCTGTATGAAAAGCAAAGAAAAGAAAAAGGGGAAAAAATTACCTTTTTCGGCTCCTTAACTTCCCGTGCTGGATTCTTACGGATTGCTTCATGTGCCTTTTTATACATATCCATAATCTGCAAATACACAAACTTTTGCACATTATTATCAGAAATAAAGCCAAACACCGGTTAATTATAGGAATAACCATATTTTCGATAACTAAATTTTTCAACAGCTCACATCATCTGCACTGACGTTAGCAGCAATGAAACGCGAAAAATGCCGCTTATACGCATCTTCATCTTGTTCTTTCAATAGCGTCATATAATCAGCAACGTGTTTTCCAAGTATTCTATCACGATGTGCTTCAGCATTGTATTTGGTTTCCGAATTATAACCGAAAAAACGCGTCTCACTGAAAAAAGATTGCACCAACAGATTAACAGAACGAGAACTTTTAATTGTGACCTACATGACTGATTACTAACCTGTAGATCGAGCGGAAAACCTGCTGCAATATGCGGAACCAATAAATATAATCCAAGAAATACTGTAATAAAACAATACACACCTATGTGGAACATCAATCCCGCCGTCAGCAACGCCCTTCATGACAGCGAAAACTTTAGCGCCTGTAACAGTGCGTGCTAAGCCAACATCAAGGACTGCCCGGAAAGGTGCTCGTTCGCCTTCCTTTTCAACATTATAGTCATCACCGTTTGCTTCTTCAAGACCTTTGTAAGTTTCTGCCAGACCGATTTTGAGCAAATGACGTCGAGCCAGCAATAAACCGGTAGCATAAGCCGATGCATAGTTGGTCAAGCCCACCTAAAAGTGAAAAATTCAAACAGTGCAAAAACCATAACTGATCCTACTCATTTAGTGTATTTTTTTCATTGGATCTTGATAATCTCATGCAAACGGTACAATCATACACTCCACGTACTACAGAATAAACGTCACCTAAGTAGCGTGCAATTCGTGAATGCCATGAAACTTGACTTGCACATGTCAATCTAAATCAGTAAGTGCGTTTCTACTTTGTGCACATACTATTTAGCTGCAAATTTTACATATGAATCCTGATTGCAAAACGAAGCAAATGTAACCTTAATTCCATAACGTGGTAATTCATGTGAGTAAGCAGAACATACCACTACATCACCTTCAATTCGAGAATATGCGATCTGAAATTTAAATTGGTATTGTTAGTTCTCCAAAACCGAACTAAAGTGGTCTGATCTTAAATGGTCACTGCAGAAAATCCATATTTTGGAAAGATATTTCCCAATAACAAATACTAAAAAACAAAAAAAAATGAAAGTAATAAAATTTGTCCGATCATTCTACAGCAAACAGTATATCTACAGCAACATCAACAAGACTTGAAAGAGCCTATGCTGCGTTTACCCAAGTATTTATAGCTTATTGACTGTCACTAAAGAAAAGTATGAGAGAAAGGGACGATATGATCGTGTAAAGCTCCTATTTCATTCATTTATTCCCACCCATGTAAACTATCTGAAAACAATCAGATCAACTTGAATAAAGTAACATGACTCACTTGAGCAATGACATCTCTGTTGGTGAAACGTACGATAAGCCGGTACTTTGGAGTGTTGTATTTATTCTTATCCTGCACAGTTAGACGTTTCCTTGCATAATAATCTGTCTTACCCTCACGCCTACGCTTAAATTTCACTTGGTAACGTTTGAAATATGCCTTATTTTTGATCACCTTCACGAATCCCATCCTACACTCTGAAATTGAAAATTAGTAATAGTCCGTCATTTGTGCCACGTGCACTTTGCATATCAATGTGAAATTAAATAGCGCAAATATAAAACAACTCACAATATTACACTATGTTCGCTTAGTATACGAGACATGATACGCGCCACTTACACATAAAACGAAGCCCCAAATGTCCGAATTGTTTACACATATTTCTGTCTTGATCCCGCTACATTCTACTCAAACGTTAGATAAGTCACATCACGCAATGGCATCCGCGCAACCCCAAAAGTGATAACGCTATGCCTCCACAACCAATGTATTAATAGGTCCATATGAATCCATCAAACCGTCCTTTAGGCTTTTGCACAACATTGACATTATGAAAAAGTTGCGGATCATAAATTTATTTGAAATACAATCGATGATATTGTTATACCACAGGACAAACTATTCAGGGAATGATGCCAAGGGAAGAAGTTCATGGAATTAGATACATATGAGATAAATTTAAGCTCTTTTAATCTTTTTCTTTTCATCGTTACTTGGCGTTGTCCTGAAAAAGATGCGCGTATTCTATTCTTTTCTGACACTCTATCACCTTCATGTCGATATTTAACAGGAAAGCAGAAGAGAGAAGTCTAACGCAGTTCATTAGCATTTTATGGAATTGTGCTTTCCCTTGGTCAAGATTCGAAATTCAAAGAAATATCCGTGTAGGTCAAAAAGAATATGCCGTATATATCAATAAGAAGATAAAATATAACATAGTACGATTTGAAATTTTCTATAATTACAAGCATATCCCGAGAGACCTAAAAAAATTTCCGATTGAATCAATATTTATTTGTTGCTTATTGGAAAAACAATCATTTGAAATTGTGTATCTGTGTGATCGGTCTGTTGTGTCGCTAATCCGTATGTTATTGCATTATTTGTTCCTTCTGTTGCGAATTATTCCCATTTTTTTTTGAGTTTTTGCTTTTCAGAATTCTAATTTTCAAAAAATTTTTTTTTTCGAAAAATGATTGTTTTTTAAGTTAATTGATTGGAGTTTAGCCAGTGCTCCCAGAATGACCGATACATCATCACAAGGGACGTGTTCACACCCAATGTATCGTAACAATAATTTGAACAATCGCTGTAATCATCATTGTTAGTACTTTTTTATTGCTCTTTGACTTCTTCGTATGAAAGGTGAGCGGGAATTCGAATATTTGATTCCAATGAAATTCCAATTTCGGGTTCTCCAACAGATGATTTTGAATATGTCTCGATCCATATTAATTAATAAAAGGGAATCGAAATATTTTACTCTGCAAAATCCCCATTTTTGTTAGATAGAGGGAGTGAAAATATTTGCTTGAAAATATTAAAGTTCTGATTATTAATTTTAGGTTGCGTTGTATCCTTGCAAAAAGTTGAAGACATCTTTTTTTTCCAGATCCGGAACACTCACAGTGTAATGTTGGATCTAGGAGACCAGCACTTAATAGTTTTGGTGGTGGTTCGTTCAGTACGAATCGTAGGCAATTCATTCAGCGCAATCACTCGTGGTCAAGTAAGTTATTTGAACTTGATATTATCAAAATTGATAAGGCGAATAAAAAATAGATCAAGGAAAAAATCTGATAATAGTCGATTTCAGTTCCGGAATTGGTGAGAGAAACAGGATTAATTCTGGAAGTGCAAAGAGAATATGGCCGCATCCTTAGTCAATCTAATTTTTCCACACCAAATATTCATATTTATTTTTCGCCTTCTACTCTGGTTAATGATGCACCGTTGAGCGCGATCACCGATAACCTTGCCGATATTTTCCAAGCTGGAGCAATGGTATACTTTTTTTCTTTTTTTTAAGTCCCTCGCTACATTTACCAGACTTTTTGCACCATCGACGTATTCAAATCCTTATTTAATTTATGCTTCAGATTAACATTATATAACTCATATGTATATATTAATGCATTGCACTTATACAGTTATTAAAGTTGTTATAAAAATGATTGTTAATATTTGATTTCGTGTTTGAAGCTGACTTTACTACTAGATTATCACTATCAGATTTATTGATATATAGGGGGATTTCAGGTAGAAATCGAAGTAGAGGGAGGTGTTAATCTAAAAGAACTAAGAGATCATGTTCACGTGATATTGACATGTACTTCTATAAGGCCAAGTACGGAAATCGGTCGCAGGCGTACGTTTGAATTTTGAATTTATAGATGAGGAATACTACTGGCAGATTTTATATTTAAATTATTTATTGACATATATCTTATATTTAAATTAAATTATATATTTTCAGCAGAACTAGTGCCAATGGTAGTAATACAGAATGATCGCGACATTCCGCTTGCTCTGATAGCTAATCATGAGCTCGTTGCACTCCCTCGACAAGTCTTCCCAATAGAAGACGTTACTTCGGCATTTATGGCAAAGAAGAACTCTGTTACCACGAATGTAAATTTTTTCTAGCATTTAATGTTGTATTTAATTTCTTTTGAAATATCTCTCACAAGCTCGATAAAGAGCTTTTATCAGTATATGGCATTGGATTTCTAGATGGAGTGGCCAGAATTTGCGACTATCGGACGCTCCATAGAGGGAAGAATTTTGAATGCACCGCCATGGATCCGTGAATTTACAAATCCAGCTGTCAAAAAGATTGCTTTGAGTGTACAACGCTTTGGACGAGATCGAGAAGGTTTTGCAGTTATAAAAGAGGTTGTTTCTCTCTTTTATCGTCTTAATGCTTCAGTTTATTACTTTTAAATTTCATTTTTTTACCTTTATAATAATTGATTCTGAAGAATTTTGTAGCATATCAAGCGGGGTGTTATTCTTACGCCAATCGACGAAGAAGATAAGAAAATATGTGGTGATTTGTTCTTCCCTTATGAAATGCGAATCAATGCATCACGTACGGTGACAGAATGTGAGGTACAAATTTGGAATTTCAAAACAAATATTTGAATCTTTTCTACTCTGTGCTTAGGCACTGTGAGAAGGCTTTTAATGTATCGTTTGCTGGACTTTCAAGATCATGAGTCACTGTCGAGACTCCATCCAGTATCTGACAAAAAATTATATATTTAAAGATATTAAACTTTGTTTCATATTTATTTGCATCATTGTATAATTACGCTTAAAGTGAGAGAGTATAACGCATCTTGAAAAATGAGGTTTTGTAAATATAGGAAATGTTTGTGAATTAATTAATCTGGCAGCCTACATGCATTCAGGATGTATATCGCTTAGGCTCAAAGTGGTATTTTCGTGCTTGTCCAGAATTACCAAATCGTAAATACAAGTATCGAGTGTACAGTCTTAATAGTTTAGATGATGTCATCAATGCTGATTTGATTACTCAGGAACGATCTCATGAGCAAACTGTAAATCCATCGGTACGTTATTTTCCCTTTAATCGGCGATTAAATCTCTAAAATTGTTGGTTCATAGTTGTCAAGTTTTCAAAGAGCGAATTAAACTGCGTATATCGGTTAAGAGTTTACATTCAGAAAAATGTTATTCAGAGAGAGAGGGGGAATTTGATTCTAATCGAAAAAGTATTTAAGGTCATAACTAATGAAGAATCCGTCACAGCTGATGTCTCGACGAATGTTATAGAAGCAGCGACATCTAAAAATCATGAGCTAGATGACTCACACCAATTAATTGAATTCGACAATGAACCTTTACCGGTAGATTTAATTGAAAACGATGAAAATCTTTCTCGGATCAAAATTTAGCTTCTAATACTCAGTAAGAAATTTCTATGATCAATAAAATGAGAAGAGAAAACAAGTAATAGGACAAGCATGGAAATAAATGAAAAGGAAAGGAAAAGACAAAAAGAAGAAAAGTATCTAGTAGCAAGAAAAGACCATTACTATTACTGCAGATTACTTCCTGCTCAGTCTAAGGGATGTTTGAGGTAATAGTTTCTCTATTTAAGTTCTATTCCCAAAGTAAGATACAAGAGTTAGTGAAGCTCTGTTACTTGTCTATCTTTTCATAATTACGCTGGTATTGTAAATTTAATTTCTAAACTGCATGTTATTCAACACTTCAGGTATCCTCACCAAATTCTTTTCCAATAGTCACAACAGTTTCGCCGGTTACTCTAAACTTGCTCAATAGTATTAATTTCGACGCGCCTCCTGCGGCAACAACAATTGGCATTAATGAGACAGCAATATTACAAAGTTCAAATTCTTCCGATATAGCTGATTGCAATTTATTGGTTGATCTCAATGATGCGGATGAAATACAGCAAGTCGCGACACCAGTTCGTCATTATCATGTACTGGATGAAGATTTTAATCTTTCTTCATTCAATTTCGATTTTGAAGAAGAGAAGAAATGCAAAGCAAAAATGTTGGGTTGTAATAATCACGAAAGTAATGAAGATATGTGGTAGGTTTATTTCTTTTCCAACTTTCGCCTTATATGTCGCTGTTTTTCGATCTGATAAATGAGGACAGTGTAGATAATTGATCACATATTTTACTTAAAGCATGACTATCAAATATTTTGGCTGTATTTGATGAGCAGCTATCGAATATTTTGGCTGTATTAGATGAGCAGCTATCGAATAACGGGAAGTATTGGGCATACTTTGCGATCTATTATTTTTATTTACTTATAACAAATTTATATGAAACAAATATAAAAGGTCATTGTATTATCCAGTTTATCAGTAGATGCATAAATGCTTGACGATCTACGCATTAACCTTTTTTCCGGGCATTAATTATAAAGTGTGCTCTGATTACATAGGACTAGGATTCATTTTTTACTGCTCTGAATGANGGTCATTGTATTATCCAGTTTATCAGTAGATGCATAAATGCTTGACGATCTACGCATTAACCTTTTTTCCGGGCATTAATTATAAAGTGTGCTCTGATTACATAGGACTAGGATTCATTTTTTACTGCTCTGAATGACTGGATAACGTTTGGTATGAAATATGTCTTTATAGTTCATCAGAAACTAATTTATATTACTTAAGCATGGTATCGCAATTTAAAGAGTCGGGAAATCCTGATTTGAATCGTATTATTAATGGATTTAACACACCAAAAGGTTTAGTCTCTTTTTGATAATAGTGCATTTACAACTTAGTTATAGGTATTCCAATATTAGGATTTGTTAACATTTCAGCATAAGTTCGCTTTTCTTGTAGCTTTACTTAGCTTTATTGATCATCTTGTAGCTTCGTTGAGCTTTATGATTATTGCTTTAGGATTTTCCAGTAATTAGTCTTATATTATTTGAACTTCAATTTGTAAATTCTATCAGAACCAATGGAAGCGGAGTGTAACGATTGCCCAATAGAATTTGCAACATGTAAACCCAAAAAGTGTGCGAAAAATTGCTCACCGCAATGTAATGGAAATTCTGAAGTTGAACAACTAATTGATATCAGTAGTGACCAAGAAATGGATACTAGCGATGATGATTCTGAGAATGAAATATTTCATCCAATATCTGTGGAAAGACGAAATGACGATGGGGTTGGTGTTTTGTTTTGGGTTTGAAGAAAAAAGGAAAAGTTTGGAATCCTTGCTTGAAGAATTTAATGTTTCGTATCAGGAATGAAAGTGCGAGGAACTCGTAGTCAAAATTTCTTTCATTTTTCTAATACAGATTCTTAATTTAATATTTTAGTGGTGGTTTACCCGCAGAATCCCAAATAAAGCAGATTCAATGGAAGATAAGAAGATAAATGATGAACTTATGAGGCTATCGTGTTGTGTTAAAAATTCTGAAACAATAGAGGTTACCAAATGATTATTCAATGTTTGGAATAGTAAAAATTTTCTAAGAGAAACTTAATTTGCTGTCTTTGTAATACCCAGCATTTCCTTTTATAATTGTATATGCACCACAGTTATCAGCAACTTTGTTGTAAATTTCCCAACCTTAACTATTAGTGGCAGCAGAATTCCTTAGTTTCAGCTTAACTCAGTACCCAAAGACGATAAACCACTGCTTCTAACTGATGACCATGCGAAAAATTGTGAAACAATTTCCTTGGCAGTGACACCACAGATATCTTTTTCAAATGTCCTTCAAGATGATGATGTAAGTTTTTTTTTATTTGCTGTTTTAATAATTTTTAGCTCACTGGAATTTCAATACAGTCTTATTTGTCCTTCTTTTATTAACGGTGTGGTACCATTCATTCTTCATATTATTGTTTCAGTCCCCAATCCGTTTTGTTGTCTGTTTTTTTGCATGAGAAACTTATTTGATCCAATAAGCCTTACTTATTTATTTACTAGAATTTCAGTCATTGCATAACATTTTAACGGTTGCTGTACGAGATATTTCGTTTATAGAAAAGATAAGAAGAGAGATTGGAATCTTGAACCTGTTTTTAGCTTTATGAGGCATTTTTCGAAAGGATTGTGGAATATTTTTGATCTGGACAGAGTTAAATGCGACAAAAATAGAGTGAAGAATTATATTACTAATTCATATCGTCTTTTGTGGTCCACTGATAATGTGGCTGCTATCAAATAATCTCTTACTTTCAGGTATATGCCAAATTTTTCTCTGAACTTCTTCGAAAGTGAATGACGAAAAGCGTTGTTTCTGAGATAATATGTTGTTTCTTTTGGCTCATTCAAAAATTAGTTTGATTCGATTGCAAATTGTAAGGATAATGCGGCCTTCAACATCGCCTTTTTTTTCAAAAATTAGATGGTGCTTTTTTCTCAGTTGTGAAACTTATTACATTCACTTGTTTCTTAATTCTATGATAATTTAAGATATTTCTGCTTGTTTCACAGTTGTGCAACTTTTTGAAACTGTTTTCTTTTTTGTTGGTAAAACCGCTGTGTTAGAAATATCTGTTGAAATTATTTTCGTTTTTACATTAAATTTCTGAAAGCCTTTCTAAAAAATAAATATATGCATGTAAAGTTAAAAAAAGGAAAGTGTTGCATTATTTGAAAAACTGAAAAAGATGTTAAAGATTCAAATTATCTTTGATTAATCTTATGTAAATTTTCATCCGATCTTTATGATTAAGTTACAATACAGTAATCACTTTTTCCAATTGTTATATAATCGGGTAGTTGCATATATGCTTATGTCTTTGCTTCATGATGTGTTATCCCTTAAATTACTTGTATATTTCTTACATTCTTTATTTTCTCCTGCATCTCGTTTTCATTGTTTTAAAATAGGCATTTACTGAGTATTGCTGATTTCTCACTGAAATATTTTTGACAATAATTTCGTTTTCTTGACTGAATTACTGAAGGAATTTTTATTTGACGTAAACTAGGAATGCTAGTTATCCAGAAAATCCGAACAGGAGACAAAAAATGAGGTGAGACTCACATATTAGTTGTGTTTTAAAGATGTTAGATAACCTTATATTTATATATCATGAGTCCTCGGATGTTAACGGGTCGTATGCATTTAGCATGATTTTTGCTGCTGAATATTTGGTCAACAAGTGTAATCCTTCTTTTCATTGAAGGATGAGATTGAATGAAATGATTATCAATCTTTTATCATTTTAAATGATTGTATAAAAGAAAAATTTTTGTATATAATCCTGTGCTATTTGTTAGTTATATTGTAAAACAAGAATAAAAATTTTGATGATAATTGGAAATAGAGACATTTACTGGCATAACAATGATATATGCCAAGTTTTATTTTCTATCAATCTCTTCGAGAGATCAGTATAGAATTAACATAATTAAACAATACAATCATGAAATAATCGCTAATGCAATTTATAAGATATATGATTTAGAATGTTGCTGGCACTATATCGATCATATGAAAGAGCTCTAACAAAACATCCGTTTTTAACGCAAGCTTCAAGTGCTGGTTAGTTTTTCTTCGCTTAAATTAAGTTGAGCAACATTAGGGTTAAGAAAATTAAAGATGGAAACCATTAATTTCAAATTGTGAAATATAAATAGGAAAAGAAAGAACAAAAATATGTATGGAACATAATTCGAAAGATTGATTAATTATTGTGTTGAAAATTATAGATGTTGTTACTTACCACACTTGCCTAAAAATAACTTTTTTTAAAAATTGAAATTGTAAGTGTCGTTAATTATATTTTTTTAAACGCTCTTAATTTTAATTATAAAAAGGTATTTTAAACTTTTATAAGTTTAAACTTCTTAATTTGATTTAATCCTTTTTTTTTTGAAGCCATTTATTTATCATCACTGATTAACGAAATATAACAATATGGTTAGAAGTAAGAGAATCAACATGAATAATTTTCGGTTCCTTTTTTATCAAATTTTCATATCATTACCGTCTTCTTTTGAATTGCTATCAATTACTATCCAAATTGCAATTACTATCCAAGAAGTAAACATGCTAAACATGCTCAATTACTATCCAAGAAGTAAACATGCTAAAATATGCATTAATCGATAAGAACTTAATTACAGATATAATGAATTACTGATACAGTTGAATAGGATAATTTTATATATTGAAACATTTTGTCAGAAAATGAAAAATATCGAATGGGTGAAAACTTTATGCAATTTAATATAGAAAAAATCGGGATTATAATGCTGATAGAAGAGTGAAGTATTCAATTCAATTATTATGATATATGATATCTTTTTAAATTTTGGAATAATATATATTTCTAATTGATTTTTTTTGAAGGCTCCCATAACTTACCGATGGTATTTATTGCTGGAAAATTTAAAAGGTAAAGCAAGTTTGCTACCATTGAAACGAATGATTCTTGATCAGGTTTGTTGCTTTCTTTGATGATGATTTAGTGATGAAAACTATTTGCATTTTTAACATTCTGTTTTATTGATTAGGTTTAATTTAAAATTCAAAAAATATTTATAGTAATATTTTTCTTTGTATTTTCATTTTTTGATTTTGTAATTTAATATTTTCAGACATTCGCCGCACCGCTATTTACGTTTAGTTTTATTATGAATTTACGTATATTAGAAGGGAATTCTTTGCAAGATGCAGTGGAAAAAGCAAAGAAAGATATTATTCCAGTCATGAAAACTAATTATAAGGTAGGACTTCTTTTTTTTTGATTTTTAAAATTTTGTTTTAAAAATTAAAATTATTAGATTTGAAAAAATTATATGATATGTATGATTATGACATTTTTTTTCCATAATTCTTTTATTAATTTTTTCAAATCATTAAAATCATTAGCAATATGATTACTCATATTTTTCTGCAATGAATCATAAATCAAAATTATCACACTAGCTTTCTACTGCGCTTGTTTACATATTCAATTTGCAAAGAGTAGAAAGAAAGCTGATGATAAGGTACAGGAAAAGAGAAGTGATAAGCTGATGTGCTGCTTTCAAAAAATTATAAAAGGAATAGCTTTCATTACTAATATTTTAATTTAATTAATAATTTGCTGATTGTTTGCATATATTATCCTTTGAAAATTTTTGTTATTGTTTAGGGAAAATTTTAAATTTATCACATTAACTAAAAAATATTCCTCAACTTAAATATATAAAAAATAAAATTATTTGCAATGAATATCGAAATAAATGAAGTATTTATTATATATTTATCCTAATAGATATTTCTAATTGCAGTTTTATTTCTCAAAAAATTCAAATATTTCAATTTAGATTTGGCCATTGGTACAGCTTATAAATTTCTATCTATTACCACTTCGTTATAGGCTCATATTTGTCAAACTTATGGGTCTATTTTGGAATATGTATTTATCGTATGCTACTCAAGTTAAGTCTAAACAAATAAATGAATCAAAAAAAAACATTCAGTCAATGATTTGAATCATTGATAAAATTAACAGTAGTTTTGTAATTGATGGATGAAATGAAATTATTCAACATTTTACGCCGTTTTATACTTAAACTATTTTCAGAATGTGATATTGCTTTAATATGTTGAATCATATATTTTTAAAAGCTTTAAGTAAGATAAAATGATAGTAACAGTTTATGATTTGATTATATCAGAATAATATCAGGAATGCTAATATATTTAAGCAAACTTTTATTTATATCCGATATTTAATATGTACAATTAAGGAAACATTGATTGAATTATCTGATAATTTTGTTATAAATTGTATGATACTATCATTGATCGTTGGATGATGTGAAATGAAGGAATGACTTTCCTCTTATTATCATTTAATATTAAGTGAAAGTTTTTTAAAAGTAATTTAAATACCATGATTTTTATTAAATCGTTCTGTGGAATAACACGAAATTTTAATATTGTAAAATAAATTCGTCTGTCATCAACTATAGAATAAATTATGTATTTCTTCTTATTATTGTTATTATTATTATAATGTAATATTTTGAGTTGTTTGTCATATATTGATAAGTTAAATTATCTAATCATTTAAACACCAATTTAAATAAAGACGACATCAAATTAAAAAAAGATATTTGCAAAATGGAAATTATAACCGATAAAAATGAAAATTAATCATTAAGACAATCTACCTTGTTCAAATTATGATTAACTTTTTTGAACGAAAATATTTTTCAATTCAAAATGATCTATGTGAAATCATCGTGAAATCAATCATCAAATATTTCTTCAATATTTCATTCAGATCTTAAATCAGATAGCAAAATTGGAAATTTTAACCGATAGAGAAAATCAAAAATTGATTGAACAAAATCTTTCACTAAAATTTGATTAAAATTGATTAAAATTATATGAAGTAATAGAAACTTGACCTTTGCAATTGACCTTATTACTTAACTTTTGAGGAATTAGTAAAACTGAGATTTGTTCTAAATCATCTTCAATGAGGATCAATATTATAAATGAGAAATATTATTACTTAGTTAATTTAGCATTATCAGGGTCTGTCCTTTCCTTCGACGATAAGCAATAGATATAATTTCTAAATGAACTTGCCGAAATGGTTGATACTTTAATTTAATTTTTTCAGTCAATGTAAGCCTACCATATGAATCAATTCTAATTCATAAAATTTCATTAGTTGAGGAAAAAGTTTACAACTGAAAAGGGAATTGCAATTCTGACAATTCTGACAATGATAATATAAATTATAATTTTATTTTGTAACAGTATAAATTATAATTTTCTTTCGTGATAATTAATATAAATCATAATTTTCTTTTGTGATAATATAAATTATAATTTTCTTTTATGATAATATAGATTATAGTTTTCTTTTGTGATAATTAATATAAATTATAATTTTCTTTTGTGATAATATAAATTATAATTTTCTTTTGTGATAATTAATATAAATTATAATTTTCTTTTGTGATAATATAAATTATAATTTCTTCTGTGATAATTAATATAAATTATAATTTTCTTTTGTGATAATTAATATAAATTATAATTTTCTTTTATGATAATATAGATTATAATTTTCTTTTTTTCTCTTAAAATTTCATTGAAATGCTTTTTTTCCATTTCTTTACATTTTCCATTTTTTTTCATTGTATTATTGACAGCATACATTTACAATCATTCTATCAATTTTATGTTTGATGGAAGAGAGAAGAATGAATGATTAAATCGTATAGTTCTCTTCAACAAATTCACATCAGAATCGATAGAT